AAATGAAATGTTTCTTTTCAATCAAATTCCATTCATTTTCACACAATGCATGTCAATAACAGCTACCATAAAAATTAAAATTATTAAAACAAAAATTATTTCCTGTTTTCATTTTTTTGCTACTCCTCATTTTCTAGTTTTGTTTGTGAAAGTTTAAATCTCTCCTTCTCCATGCCCTCCAGTCTATGATGACTTCTTATGACACTTTGTTTATAATGCCCACATTATAAATTATTCATTATTTTGAATAATGCCTTAATTACAAATGCACCCTGGTAGTACCGCTTTTTCTTCTGTATTAGTCTTCTCTACATTGGTTTAATACCTTTTATAATCTTGCTTTGAGACTTTTGGCTTCTGACTTTTTCCCTCAGTGGCATCCCTAGAATGCTATTGCTACAGAGAATTGAAGAGTTAAGTAATTCTATATTTCCCTTATCTCATCCTTACTTCATTCCTTTGCCCTTTGGGCTCCTTATATCTTCCCTTCCTCTCCATGTGGCCTAGATTTTGACCATGTTCTTCAAAATATGGTTCCATATTAATTTTCTTCACATAATTTTCCTTGCCTAACCCACTACAATTGTCTCCGTTTCTCCCAACCCCTAAGAATTCATGTATAAACTATATTATTACCATGTATATCATTATCATACACACAGAAAATATTTCTGTGCTTTTATTTAGTTCTTTAGTTACATAAATTTTGTAATATTTTATATACATTGTAACCTCTAATTTTCCATTATTAGCATTAATTATAGCTATTACTACATAATGTAATTGGTTGCTTAATGTCTATCCCTCCTGCTAGAATACAAGCTCTTCTGGCTAATAGTTTACTTGTTATAGCCCCAGAACTCAGAAAAATATACACAGTAAGTACTTGATAAATATAATGTCTTTCATATACCATTTATACTATTAGAATGGAAGTGCTCATAAATGCTTGGCTTTTTAAAACACCATTTTATCTAAAATTCCTTACACTTTTCTAACAGTTGGGTTTTCTGTAAGGTACAGAAAACCTAACTCAGATTTAAATCAAAGCACACCAGCTGTTTAAGGTGAGCATTTCCAGGGCTAGTTTGTCAGCCAGGACTAGGCTCTTCTCATTATCTCCTTAGCCATCAGAGACTGAGTGGCTTTCTACCTCAAACAGAGGCCATCATGGCCCAAAGACAGTGGCCACAGCTTCAATGTGCAAAGCAGGAACCGAGGGAAAGGATATAAAAATGGGGATCTCTCCTCACTCTTGTCAGAATCCCAGAAACCGCCAGCCCTGGCCAGAACTGAGTCACATGTCTACTTCTGGACTAATCAGAAGGGAAAGCATTGCTATTAATGTCCAATCTTGATCCATCCCAGCTTGTCTGGCAAAAACAAAGGAAAACCGCTAGGTTTGCAAGCAGCATTGTGCCCACTCTTCTGCTGTGGTTAGTGAACAACAATAAATCACTGCTGCCCTCAGAATCCTCACGTTCTTAGGATTCTCCAGGCTTTTTCTTTGTTCTTCCTACTTTGTAATTAAAACTTTTCTTTCAGCAATGTTTTCTGCTTAAAGTTGTCTTTTGAAAACATTTACTTTCTCAACCAACAGGTTTCTTTTGTGGATTCTTCTGTACACTCATTTAATGTTTGCATTCTAATCCTCTTTTCAAAAGCACCAAGACATGTCAAATTTTCAAAAGGAGAACAGGTTTATTTTGCCCCTTCTTTTCCATTCACCATATAGTTCTGCTTTATTTATTTATTTAATTTTTGGTACTAGGGATCGAACTCAGGACCTTGTGGTTGCAAGACAGGCACAGTGCCACTGAGCTAAATCCCCAGCCCTGACCATATAGTTCTGTTTATCAGCTGTAGTATGTGACTTGGAGACAAAGAAAATTTCATCTTTTCCCTTCACAATTGCCAGCAGCATTTATAGGTGTTAGGTGTATTTGACATGTCCTTCCCTTTTATGACTAATCAGAGATGTGCAGGCTTGCAAAGGGACCACTAGGAATCAGGGTATAATAGCATGAACTCTTGATCACATCACAAATGTTTTCTACTAATTTGTTTATACTAAATCCTGTGCATGTTTCCTTCTTGTTGGCATCAGGAAGTCCCAGAATGCAGTATATTTCCCACTTCATTCCACTTATTTCAACATCTTTCACAGAAAGAAAAGGAGCCGAGTTTCCATGGTAACACAACTGTGACAATTGAGGGTATCTGGAGATAGGTGAGATAACTCTCTTTCAGATCCTGTAGTGAGAAGGCAAATGAAGTTTTTTTTTTTCTCTTTCTCCCTTTCTTCTCTCAAGAATGGGACTCTGTAACTAAAGGGACCCTGCAGTGTCCGTATGAAGTTATGGGTTTTCACTATCACAGAGATTTACCACTTTTGGAGAAAGTCAGTTTTGTCTTAGCTCATGTTTATTTTGGTTTTCCCTACAAACAAATGAATGAAGACATAATTTTTTAGTTCTAAAATCATTCTTGCAATAGAGCTTATTCTGGTATATAAATAATTAAGGGATCAGGAAATAGACCTCCATCTCATACTCATCTTCAAAAATTCTCTATAGGTCTTGACATCCTTCTTACAAGACCTAATCTTTCGACCAGTATTGCACATACAGTAACAAATCAAGTATATACCAGAAGTCAGAAGGGGTGACAAAACATGCTCCTACCTGTTGTTTCTATGCCTCTTTGTGGCATTAAGAGTGAAAACAGACTTGTCAATATGAGAAACACACAAGAGCTGCAACTACCCGATGGGCTGCAGTCTCTACGCTTTTTACCAAAAAAAGTATGACTAAAAGTCAAAGAATATATCCCGAGAAAAGAAAAAAATGCTATTTTACTCTCTATTATGCTAGGTGGAGTGACTAGGAAGCCCACTCAATATTTTTATGACAACTTCTATCAGATGTCCTCCAATCCGGAGTTTGCCAGCTTTGAAGGGAGTAATGAAAACAGCTGCTTAAATTTACTTCTGGAATCACAATCCAAAAGCAAATTTCAAAAGCCAAAAATCAAAACAAAAAGCAAACACTGGACTTTTATTCTTTGCAAAGTGAATGAATTTTTAGCTCCACTGTAATGCAAAAAACTGGATGGGGTATCTGACCTGTAAAAAGAGAGAAAGTTTGATATTTCTTGGCTCTACTTAATCTCCACCAAGTTCAAGAATTTCTTATCACTAAGATACACAATTAGAATCTTACGAGAAGGGCTGGGGATTTAGCTCAGTGGTTCCAGCGCCTGCCTTGCAAGCACAAGGTCCTGAGTTCGATCCTCAATACCAAAAAAAAAAAAAAAGAATCTTACAAGAGACAGTGTGTCTCTTCAGGAGAATGTAACTGCTTAGCTAAAGTAACCACAAAAAAGCATACTAGTGTTACACAAAATATGAGACTTCTAAAAAGCTAGGTTACCTATAACATGGTCTTGAAACATCCCCGCCAAAGTAATCAGACATGAAGCATCCATGCAAGCCCTCTCAACTTTAATTCACTTCTTTGTATTACTAGCTTAGATTAACATATCAGATCCTCTTCAGTTTCAATTTCTCTTAAAACATTCTTTTTTTTGGTACCGGAGATCGAACTCGGGTCCTTGCGCTTGTCAGCAAGTGGCGAAACCACTGAGCTAAATTCCCAGCTTCTCTTAAAACATTCTTGATTCTTTGTTTTTCTTAGTTTGCCTTTGCTGCCCATTCTGGTAGCTCAGACTTAACATCTCATATTTTGATAATACATAATCAAGGAATAATGACTGATTTATACTGTCAGCCCTCCATATCCATGAATTCAGCCAATTGTAGATTTAAAATACTGTATGCAGGGGGGAACTGCATCTGTATTGAACATGTACAGACATTCTGGTCATTATTCTGTAAACAGTACACTACAACTATTTGCATAGCATTTACATTGTACAAGGTACTATGACCTTGAGATGATTTAGCAGGAGGATGTGCGTAGGTTATATGCAAACATGCCATTTTATATAAGGGATTTAAAATTCCGAATATTTTGATATGAAGGGGGCATTCCAGAACCAACCCTCCACAAATACTGATACAACTGTATTTTTATTCAGTGAGAGACAAATGTAATTTGTATTTTAAAATTGACAGAACACTTCCCCTCAATTGCATAATCAAGAACTTCTTGTTATTTATGGCAACTAGTACAAACATAAGTTATCCATTGTAAAATAATGGAGCAAATGAGCAATAAGTCACTGCTAAATCTGCTAAATCACTACATCTTTGCAGTAGTTTGATTACTGACAGAAAAGACGGTAAAAAGAACACCTGTCTGTTACAGAAACTCAGACCAAAATCTTCTCCACAATGATCTTGTGGGAAAGAGGAACAGTGGAGAGGTATACACTGATCAAATATTAGAATTGCAGAAGTGTATTCTTTTCAGGAGATGTGACGGGGAAGAGGGAAGGCTAGTTCCAGAAGGAACGCTTTAAAGTAAGTGCAAAATCAATTATTCAAAAATCATCATCTAGGGTGTTTGCTATAAAAAGTCGCCTAAATTTGACGATAGAGCTGGGAAAGGTTGTGGACCTAAGATCTAATGCTGGAGACAGAATGATGATTTTTAAAACTGAGTAATAAAAGAAAAACGTTCTAGAGGCTCGCATGGACCAATGCAACTGCAGCACGATTATCTCCTTTAAGGACCGGAAAATTTCTCAGCCTAAAGACAAAAGTCCGCGTTTTCTCCATTCAGCCCACGATCTAGCCTACATGCAGCAGCACCACCTCCATGCCCATCATTTAGGCAGAATACACGGAATTCATCACTCTCGCTTGCCAAAGAACTTGTGCCTTTGCCAGAACTTGGCACTGCAACTGTCCCTCCAATCTCGGCCCTTCCCAAACCCGGAGAAGCCCCCGCCCTCACTCTATACCACCCGCCCTCTAAGGCAAGGGAATCGCGAGTTGTGATTGGCTCAGCACAAACCTCCGTCATTCATCTGCTCACCTGTGATTGGTTATCATAGAGTGTGCAGGAGTAACCGCCCTCCCCGGCGAGGCTCTGGGAGAAGGGTCAGCGGGTCCTACGACTAAACTTTTTCCCGATTGGTTGAAAGAGAAGCCATCACGTGGTAGAAGACGTCTCTCTCTCTCTCTCTCTCTCTCTCTCTCTCTCTAATAGGTCGTGAGTGGTACCATGGGTTCCAGAATCGTAAACTGATTGGTTAGACTGAATCCCACCTTCCTACACGATGCTCCCAGCGGGCTGTTGCTGAGGTGTCCTCCGGCCTTCCAGCTGCCGCTGGAAAGTCCGCATTCCAGGTTTTCCACGCGCCCTAGGCTGACGGCGTGGGAAGAACTCCACCTCTATCGGCCACTGGGGGCGGGGCTAGAGGGAGTGGGCGGGGACGCGGCGACGTCATCGGGCGGGGACGGTGCGTAAGTTTGGGCGCCGCAGACTAGCCCCTTAGGCGTGCTGTCACCCCTGCCTCAGAGTCCTGACCTTTGAAACTGGGCTTCGTTTTGTCGTGTTTATGCAACCTCGGGCAGAGGCTTGGAGGCTTTCATCCCCTTACACAACGGTTCACACCTTCAGGTTTATACAAAATAAAGCCAAATTCCCCGGAATGCTGACAGACTGGGTGGTGTCGACCCCTGGTGTTCACGTCATGGTGCCCCCACCTCGGACGCTGCACCTCTCTTTCTCACTCCCGGCTTCAGATTCAAGCCTGGAGATCCCTTTCGCCCCTCTTCCACTTCGGCTCCTTCAAATCCTGAGCACTGGTGTCACAGGTGGATGTAGCTCCCGCCTGAGGCGAGCAGCGCACACACGCGCAGTTCGCAGGCCGTGCTTGGTCGGGGTGCGCGGTGGGGTGCTGTCCGGTGGACTCCGTCTGTGCTTGTTTATTTAAGCGCCGGCAGAAGCTTCCGCGCCTTGCAGGGCCCCTCGGGAGCGCGCGGGACCGGTCGCCTAGGCGACTGGCCTCGGGGCGGGGCTTGGTCGCGGCCCCGCCCTACCCGCCGGCCCCGCCCCCGGCAGAGCTGCGGCTAGGCTGGTGCGCGCGCTCCTGCGCCTGGGAATCGGCGGCGGCGGCGGCGGCGGCGGCGGCGGGCGGGGAGCTGGGCGTGGAGCGCGAGGGGCGGGGCTCGCGGACGGGCGGCACTGCGGG